CCACAACCACCACCACCACGACTGCTCGTCCTACTACCACTACCACTACCACGACGACTGCTCGTCCTACCACCACCACCACCACCACCACTGCTCGTCCTACCACTACGACGACGACCGCGACCACTGCTCGTCCTACTACCACCACTACCACCACCACCACCACCACTGCTCGTCCTACCACCACTACCACCACCACCACCACCACTGCTCGTCCAACTACTACCACCACTACCACTACGACTGCTCGCCCCACTACCACCACCACCACGACGACGACCACTGCTCGTCCTACCACTACCACGACTACTACGACCACTGCTGACTCCACCACTTCTAGCACATCATCCAGCACCACGTCCTCATCACGTGCCAGTTCAACTACGACATCGGCAGCGCCTACTCGACCGGCGACACAGTCGACCACAACGAATGCACCACAAACCACACGCCGCGACACCACAACGCCTTCTCGCGGCAGTGGAACCACACCTAGCGCGTACACCACGACGCCGGCGCCAGACTTTTACTATGTTGAGGTCCGGTTCCCTGATATGAGCTTTTTTCTGATCATTGGGGACGCCGAATCTTCTCGCGCCGGCCAGTTTGCTGCGTCATTGTTTGATCAGCTCGTGTCCAGCAGCTCAGCAGTGGTTGATGCCAAGGACATCCGAGAGATTTCCTTGTCAGGCACAACATATATTCGGGCCACGATCGCAGTCACCACTGAGCGTGCTGCTGCTGCCATTACTGCTCTGGTTGACAACGGCCTGTGCGTAACGATGAACGAGCGTGCGTATTGTACAGACGGTTCGATCATTGATCTGACCCCTCGTAACGATGACACGACAACGTCAACGACTGCAGCGCCAACCCGCAATGGAGGAAGCAGTGAGCACGATGGCTCAAACGGCAACAGCATGGGTGGCGACGAAACCATTGTGGATTCAGGTGACTCTTCTCAGTCAGACCAAGGCATGACGACGGGCGCCATCGCTGGCGTGGCTGTGCTCGCCGTTCTAGTTGCCGTGGTTATTGTTCTCGTGGCCGTGCGTGTGAGCCGCAAACCCAAGTCGCGCCGCCCTAGTCGCGCGATGGAGCAGATGTTTGAAGATGACAGCATCTACACAGGTTCCTCCACCTCCATGGATCGCTACCTGGACGCCATGGACAAGCACAGCGGTGCCGCCGTACCTACGACAGGCTCGCTGATGAGCGGTCCTGACTACGAGACAGCCATGGCCCAGCGAACGGCGGCAACTGCCTTGGCATCGGCAGACGCGGATGGCTACAGCTATGCCATGAATGAAGATGGCACGTATTCGCAGGCCAACGCTTTCTCCACGTATAGCTTTGCGGATCGTAGCAACGGTGGGTATGACGTGGCCACGCAAGATGATGGCTACTACTTTGCCATGTCGGACCACGGTGACGAGGGTGGCTATGATTCGCGCACAGTGCCATCCGAGTTGGTAAATCACGATTACGACAGTGCCTCTGCTGTTTCCACCTTGGAGCCCGAGTACGAACGCATGGATCGTGCGGCCACATTTAATGAGGAGCAACTTTACACTGTGAATGTACCCAACACGATTCCGCCCACACCACCACCACTCCCCGTCCGACCCGCCATGGTGCCACCAGCCTCGCGTGGAGGCGATTTTGAATTGGAACTGGCCCAACTCGCCACAGGCATGGAATCCACGGCCCATCACGGCGGTTTGCGCCTTCGTACACCTTCCCCTAAGCTCGCTCGCCGATAGATACTCGGTATAACTCGCTCGCTCAGAGTGAGCATCACGTGAGTGTCTGTTGTGACTTGCCAGCCGAGCTGGATTGCGTTTGTTCCCCGCCTCGCATGACTGCCGTCAACATGCACCGATTAGGTGACAGACAATGCTTTGATCGGGGTGTCTTTTCATGTTTGTGCTCGGGGTGTGTCATTGCGGCCACCTGGTTCTTCTTGAGTTCTTTTCTTCAAAATTGAGGATTACATGCTAGCCGTTTGAATAAAACAAAAGAAAACTTGGCATGGATTGGGCTATGACAAGTGCACTGGTGCTACAGGCCAATGGGCCCGCGCAACCGATGCCACAAAGTTGCATCAACACGAACGAATGCCAAGTAAAACACCAAGAAATTTGGCATGTTTCACAAAATCATGTGTGGTAAGAAAAAACCAAAAAGACAACAGTCAGAGAAAGACAAACAGATAGAATAATCGGAGTGGCAGCCGCGATTGAGCACGTCACACGCATGACCTGGCATGATACCAAGCGGCAGTGCCGCGGGCCGCGAGGCTAAACATAGTGAACGGGGGGGGGCCTCCTAGTTCAAAGGCCACGATTGGCAAGCCTCAGATTCCCCACTCTACAAAAGCAACTTTTTTCAGAGCCGGCAGCAGTCTGAGGTATGGTAGTCAATATTTGCAGGCGAATCGCTGCCCGACACCAAGTCAAGGTCCCCATCTATACATGCATGGCGAAGCGTCATCAACCGCGTGTACATGAGTGGATGCCAACAGTTGCACCTCGCAAATGGTTGGTTCAAACTTACCAGCGTTGATGTCGACGGCTACAACGACTCGCACGTTGGTTTGACTTGCGGCCACGGCATTGGGGCTGTACGTGTTTTGTGCAGAGTCGTAGTTGAACCAGCGGACTGTGTTACTGCCGCGTGCCGCCACCGCAACGTCCAAGTCACAATCACCATCAAGATCCCCCACATCCACATCGTACGCGCCAATGCTGACGGTAGAGATGATGTTTTGCACGTAGTTACCGGTCGAGTCTTGCAGGTATCTACAATCAGACGTTCAAGAGCAGCAATACCGTCAAAAACCCGCAAAGAGAGGCAAACACATCAATCACAACCACACTGGCCAAGTCGAGCAATCAATCAGTTGATTTGTTACTCACGAGTAAACGCTGTTGCTACCAGATGCGGCGACCACCACGTCCATGTGGCCATCGGCATTGATGTCGACTAGTTTCATGCCACGAGGACCAGCCACGCTGGCATCTAGTGTGCGAGCAACAAAATTGCCCGCACCATCGTTTTCCCACATGACAAGAGTGTTGCCGTCGACTTGGGATGAAACAATGTCCGCATCGCCGTCGCCGTCCATGTCAGCAGTCTCGACATCAAAAGCACCATCGACAGACGAAGACAACACCCGTGACGTCGTCATGGACCCTTGGCCGTTGTTAAAAAAGACTTGCACGATATCGTCGTTGCGTCGAGCGATCACAACATCCTAAACAACCAAAATGGACAAACGCCCAACCCTCACATGAGCGCGACAAATACTGAAAAGCGTCGAGAGCACTCACTAACGTACCACATCGCCATCACCATCAAAATCGGACGCCGAAACTCCCGTCACATCGCCTGCGCTATCCGGGGCAATCATCGCATCAAAGCCACCCGTGCCATTGTTGAGGTAGACGACCAAAGCCTGGATGCCCGAGTAGACAGCCACAACGTCATCCAGCCCATCCATGTTGAAGTCGGCAACAGCCACATCACGTGGGCCCGCCAAATCTTCGGAAAGAGTCACCACGTTGAAGGTTGGGCGGGAGTTGACCAAGTTGTTCATGGAAATGGCGACCAGATTATCACCTGCCGAAGCCGAAACAATATCCTAAGAGGGAAAAGAAAAAGAGAAAATTAAAAACCAAGCAACAGCAAAACGTGAGAACGGAAGCTTGGGTTTCTTTACCAGCAAAGTATTATGACAACATACCGGCAGTCCATTTTGATCAAAGTCTCCAATAGCAATGCCATATGTGCCCTGACCAGTACCAGAACCAACCGAGCTCATCGTCCAGCGAGGTGAGCACACGTTATTAAAGGTGCCAAACCCGACGGTACAATAAGAATCCAACGGTGGGCATTCCTCCGTTGTGGTTGTTGTAGTTGTTGTAGTCGTTGTGGTTGTGGTTGTAGTCGTTGTGGTTGTTGTGGTGGTAGTTGTGGTGGTGGTAGGCGGCGAAGAAGTGCTTGGACCGGAAGTCGTGGACCCGAGATCTTGGCCACCACACGAGTTGAAATGCACATCGACGCGTCCGGTATTGTCGTTTGTAACGAGAATGTCCATGGCGCCATCACTGCCCAGGTCAACGACATGCACGTCCGTGGGACGCGTGACCGAGGCTAGATTCGCATATGTAAAGACACCAGCATTGTTGCTGAGAACTGAAATCTGCCCACCGGTCCGCTCAGCCAGAACAACATCCATGTCACAGTCACCGTCAATATCTGCCACGTGCATGTCAAAGGGCTCGACAGGAAGAACGGACAGAGTTCGTGACGAAGCATAAACGCCATTTTCATTTTCCAGAAGAAACACGGCGTTGTCATTTCCTGAGGCCACAAGAATGTCAACATCGCCATCACCGTCAATGTCAGCGGCCACAACGTCTCGCGGCACGTTGAGACCGCTGAGCAGAGCGCTGTTGGTAAAGGTGGCATTCCCATCGTTCAAGAACAGGCGTACATCACCGCCATCGCGGCTCGCAACGACAAAGTCCATGTCGCCATCGTTCTCCACGTCGACGATGTCAAGGCCAAAGGCCCCGGCGACAGAAGCCACTTCGGTGACCACCCAGGATACGGGACCAGAAGCATCACCCACGCCCGGTTGATTCAGATAGACACGGACGACTGAGCCAAAGCGCTCCGAAGTCACAACGTCCAGGCGACCATCGCCGTTGAAATCGGCCAAGCGCAAGTCGTGCACACCTTGAGCAGCCGTGGAAATGGGATAACGCTGTGTTGCAAAGGTTGGAGCCACGGACGCGTGCAGAAGAGAGACACGACTGGCACCACCCACTACAATATCAGCAATGCCGTCGCCATCAACATCCCCAACATCAAGACCACGCAGTTGCGCCAAGCCCGGCCCAGCAGCCAGTTGCACTGGTGCGTCAAAGAAGGCACTATTGCCATTTCCAGCCATAAAGTACACGGCTGAGTCTGCGACTGTCACCAAGCCCGTCATGATCACGCTGGCACTATAGGGCATGGTGCGATATCCACCCGTCACGCTGGCTTGCGATCTCATGACAAAGTTGGACGTGCACGTTGCTGGCTCACACGAGCCTGTATCTGCAGTGGTAGTAGTCGTCGTAGCGATAATGGTAGTTGTTGTTGTTGTTGTTGTGGTGGTAGTAGTAGTAGTAGTAGTGGGCTCTGCGGTAGTAGTAGTAGTAGTAGTAGTGGTGGTGGTGGTGGTGGTAGTGGTGGTGGTAGTGGTCGTCGTGGTACTAGTCGAGGTCGAGGTGGTGGGGAGGTCAATCTGGAAAACGTCCAGATCAAAGTTGTCATAGTTGATCTGGCCCGCACCCAAATCCGCTGCACGAACCAACACTTGCAGCGTGCGGCCCACAACCGCAGGTGACGCCACCGTGTGCACCAGCTCAAAGGCAACAAACTGACCGCGCACCAGCATGCTCTGCGTCACGTCCAGCGCCGCCAGCAGCGCGCCCGTCTCCGCCACGCGCAGCTCCACGCGCGAATCCACCACACGCACAAAGTCGCGGCGCCAGCCAGCCGCAAACTCGAGGCGCACCTGCGTGCCCAGCGCCAACTCAACCTCACTCACGTTTTGCGCCGCCACGCCGCCACGGCGGAGGTACAGCACTTGATCGCCCTCGGCCGGGGGCAGCAGCATCTCGCTGTTGGCCAGCTCGGCGTAGTTTTCGCTGGTCGGGGCAAAGGTGCCGGCCAAACCGGACACAACCCAACCAAGCGCCGTCTCCGCAAAGAGGCTGCCGTCTACCACATCAAAGTCGGGCTCCTCAAACGAGTGGCCCGCCAGGATGGGCAGATCCACTGTTGTCACCTCCATCGTGGTCGTTGGCTCCTCTGTGGTCGTTGGCTCAGGGGTCGTGTCCACCGGCAGCAGCAAAGAGAGCTTGACGTTATCAATGGCAGCTTGGTCAAGAGACTCGCCCTGAACGCTGAAGACAATCCGCATCAACTCGCTACCAAAGTCAATGCCATAAGGCACCTCTGCCGAGCCGGTCACCTCGACAAATTGGCCCATCGCCAAGTCCAGTTGAGCTACGGTGTAAGTCTCCGCAGCCAGAGGCACACCCGAGCTGGATGTGAGCAACTCAACGGTGACCGAATCAGGAAAGCTTGTGGCTCGGGTGGCACGCCAGCCCAATGCGAACGAAAATGTAACGATCGAGCCGGGAATGGGATCCGATTCCAAGACGACTTGTGAAACGCGCGCACCAGGCTTGATGAACAAAACCTGGCGCTGGTCAGCCGGCGCGGGCAGCCATTCGATCGAGGCGTCACCAAAGTCAGCGGCAAGGGGCCGGAAGGTGCCGGCCACATTGCCCTGACCAGCAACGTCCCACGCGGTGGCGCCAACAACAAAGTTGCTCGACAGGCCAGCCAGGTCGTCAATCTCAAAGCTGGGGTTGCCCACCGGCAAGGAGACAAAGCGTGGGTCCACAGTGGTTTCCAGCGGTGTCGTGGTCGTCATCAACGGAGTGGTAGGCGCCGTGGTCGTGCTCTCCATAGTCGTTGACGCGGTTGTCGTGGGTGCCTGCGTGGTGGTCTCAAGGGCTGGCGTTGTTTCAACGACGCGCTCACGAACGTAAATGCCGCTGAACGCATCCACAACCAGTTGGGCAGAGGTGTCCTCGCCATCGGTGGCCACGCAAATGTCGAGTCCTTCCCCAAGCGAGGAGCTGCCTCCTTCGACGATAAAGGAAATCTCCACCTCCACAAACTCACCGGCACGTATTTGTAGATCCGACTGTGTGAGGGTGGCAGTTGCCATGACTTCATTGGTGAGGGAGCTGGTGGCCGAGAAGGTGAGCTCATCCGGGAAGAAAAAGGGTTTGTCTCGGCGCCATCCGATCACAAAACGAAAGGCAAAAACATCCTCCGCTTGCATCTGAAGCGTGCTCAATGCTTGGCAGGCTTTCCCACCAGGCTTCATGAAAAGCACCTGGCGACCCGAAGCGGGTGCGGCCAAAAACCCCTGAATTTGATCAAAGGCTGCAGGCGGGGGCAAGAAGGTGCCGGCTTCACCCGAGAGCTGCCAGGAATCAGCTGCCAGGGTGAACCGTGATGGACTGGCCGCTAAATCGTTGAGTTCAAAGCTGGGATTGAGAATGGCAATGTCGTAGGTGAGGTTTCTATCCTCGGCAGTCGATATCATGTCTTCCGTCGTAAAGACAACCGTAGTGGTGAGCAGCTCAGTGGTGGGCACGATGGTGGTAGGCTCAAACGTGGTGGTGGTGGGCATGACCGTTGTCGGCGCTGTCGTCGTCGTGGGCATGACCGTGGTGGGTGCCGTGGTGGTTTCAGTGGTAGTCATGGTGGTTGTTGTGGTCGTGGTCGTGGTCGTGGTCGTGGTTGTTGTTGTGGTCGTGGGCTCGGTGGTTGTGGGCTCGGCGGTGGTTGTGGGCTCAATTGTCGTCACCACATCCATGGTGGAAGGCAGCATGGTCATGGTGGATGGGGCTTCCGTGGTCACGGCTGGCACAAAGTCGAGCATAAAGTTGTCGAGGGCGGCCTGGGCCTGATCTGAGCCAGTGGCCGTGAGGACAATCTCCAAATGCTCCCCGTTGATCGGGTTACCGTACCCGGTCACGAAGGAGAGGGAGAGCACAGCCGATGAACCGGGGGTCAAGCCCTCGCTTACGCTATCGAAAGTCACTTGGTCCAAGGGCGCACCGGTGCGGTCACCTTGGAGAGTAGCAATGACGGTGGTGGGGAAGGGGATCTCACGATCCTGGCGCCAAGCAATCGTAAAGCTGACATTGACTGGCGTCTCTGCGGTAATGAAGGCATTGCCCAACGTTTGGCGCACGGTGGCGCCAGACCGCAGGTAAAGGACTTGATTGCCGTCGAGTGGCTCTGGAAGCGGCGAAGCTCCAAATGCAGTAGCAGCTGGCCGGAAGGTGCCGGCATTGCCCTCGATCTGCCAGCCGCTCGCCACGTTGACAAAGCGCACGGCACTGCCGGCCAGGTTGTCATCCTCAAAGCTCGGGTTGGCAAAGACGAAGCGAGGAGCAGGTGTGGTCGTCGTGGGAGCCTCCGTGGGGCCGTTGCTGCAGCATGACGGGAAATGCAATTGGATCGCACCCGTGGCGTAGTTGCTGGCCACCAAGTCAATGTCCCCGTCGTTGTCCAGATCGCTGCCTGCAACGGCTCGGACACCAGTGATGCCACTGAAAACAACTTGGCGCGCGCTGAAGCTGCCACCCTGGTTGAGCATGAAAGACACCTCGTTGACAGACCGGGCAGCCACCAAGAGATCCAGCCGTCCATCGCTGTTCAAATCAAGCACCTGGACACTGGAAATGCCGAGCAAGTCGTTGGCCACGGTCACGGGCGTGAAAGAGCCACCCAGGTTTTGCACAAACACGACCAGGGCGTTGCTGAGGCTCGAAGCAGCTAAAATGTCCATGCGGCCATCCATGTTCATGTCCGCAATGTGCACCGAGATGACTTGAATGTAGATATCGGGAAAGCTCAACTCGCGACGCGTGTAATTGCCAACAGCGTCGCGCTCAAAGAGAATCAACTCCTCGCCACCGGCGACAACATCGGGATAGCCGTCGCCGTTGACATCGCCCACAGCTACAGCGTGTGCGCCTTGAACCGAGCCGATGGCTCGAGCTGTTGTGCTGCGGGTTTCCACCGAGCATTGGCGCAAGCAGGGTTGATACGGCAGGCAGCAGGTAAAGTCGACGACGGCCACAAGGTTGTAGTCGTGGATGGCGATGACAATGTCGTTGTCACGATCATTGTCAAAGTCAGCGACAACCACCTGGCGCATGCCGGGAAAGTTGTAAGAGAGCAATGAGCCGGTCGTGAGGGACGTGTTGCCCTGATTGTTGTTGAGCAAATAGATCCTTCCAGTCGTGGTGCTGGGAAGAACAAACTCGGGGTAGCCATCGCGGTCCAGGTCTCCGCTGGCCGGGTACATGATGCCACTCGCTTGAGTCAAACGATAAAAGGTACCCCGCGACAACATGATGGCGCCCGTGCCGTTGTTGGCAAAGAGCATGTCACTGACGACGCCGTCCTGATCAAAATCGACAATGAGAATGGAGTGAACGCCCGTCGTCAGGCCAGAGTTGAAGGAATCCTGCTGGCCCGCGGCGGGGGAACATCCAATGGCGCAGCTAGGTGCGGCCTTTGGGGTTTCGGGCTCCATGGTGGACATGATAATGGTGCTGACCGCATCCACGTCGACAAACTGAGAGATGGCCTCGAAGCTATCAAAGAGGGCTTGGCTGTTGGCCGGTCCCTCTGCACGCAGACGCAATACAATGTCTTGGCCTTCCAAATCGCTGCCCTCTAGAGTCCGCAGGCTAATGGTGACGGCGGTGAAGTCGGCATTGCTCTCGAGGTCTTCTTCGGTAATGGCCACCGAGGCCAGGACCGTTTCGGAGGGAAAAGAGAGCAGCTCAGCAAAGGCGGCCGTGGGGAAAGGGCGGTCCAGACGCTTGCCGATGGCAAAGGAAATGTTGTAGATGCCCCCCGCTTCAATGGCAACACCCTGAAGACGTTGGCGTAGCTCCCCAGAAGGCCGCACAAAACTGACCTAGACGCATTGCACAACAAACCAGCAGAGGAAGGGTCAGAAGGCTGGCCAAGGACGCCGGACCCTTGAAGCAGGCGGACAGGCAGCAAATGCAACCCGGTCGCCAGCAGCGGGCGCCGACGCAGCGTAAGGAGAAGCGGGCGGGGGCTGAGGTGAGGGGTGACATAACGAGGGCTGCGCACCTGTAGGCCAGTGGCAGGAAGGGTCATATAGGTGGCATTGTTGAGGGTGGGATTAAAGACGCCAGCTGGACCAGTGGACTCCCAGACACGAAGTGTGTTACGAAATGGTTCTTCAGGATCCTCAACAATGGGGCGTTCAAAGCTGGGATTGAAGATACGCAGCGCCACGGGCTCGGGGGTGGTGTAAATGATGGTGTTGTAAAAGAGTTGAACGTTGTCAAAGATAATCTGAGAACGTGTCGAGCCAACGTTGGCCAACATGATCTAGAGTTCAACCAAGAAAGGACCGATGAAAAACAGGAAGAGAATTTGTTCGACCATGAGCAGGCGCTTGGCATTGGCAGGACGGGACGTTGTGGTTCAGCGTCAAGCAAATAGGGCGCCAATCCATACCTCGTATGTGAGACCGGCAAGGGCGGGATCATTCACGGTGCTAAATTCGAGGGTGACATTGGTAATTTTCCCTTTGGTCAAGGTTGGCTGGAATGAATCGCGCGTAAAGTCGAAGCGGGACAGCACGGTGCCATTGCTCAGGCGAACGACAACGGCGCCTACAAAGGGGGCGAAGAGCGACATGATGAGGGTCAGTCCAAGCTCAGACGCGGGCGCAGGGAACCACACGCTGACAGCTCACCTTGTCCAAATGGAAAGTCGAGGCGGTTGCCGATGGACACGACCAGTTTGTAGTCGGTATCTTCCAGGAGCGGTACAGGTTGGATCTATTGGCCCGAATGACACAAGGAGTGGATGAGTTGACATCTGGGAAGCGAGTCAGCCCGGCCCAAGCCTTGGTGGGCAAAAAAAGCAAAACCACAAAAACCAAGGGAGGATGTGCCAGGGGTGGTGGCCACAAATCAAGGGGCCGTACCTGATAGACGGCCGATTGTTTGCGAGCATACACGACCTGCCGTCCGCTAAAGGGTGCGGGGAGGGGGTCGACCTGTGCCAAATAACAGGCGTTTCGAATTGTTCGAGGATGATGACGACCAACGTTTTCAGGTGAGCTTGTATAATATGGAGCGGAGCCCGAAATCGTAGATGGGCGGTCCACCGCAGGCCTGCGGTGAAAACGACTGTGTGGCTGCACGCACCGTGGCAAAGGAGTCGAGCGAGGGACGAAAGACGCCTGCTTCTTGGCCAATGACGATCCAAGAGCCGATATCAGGGGAGTAATCGGGAACCACGCTGAGCTGAAAGTCTTCAAAGTCGCCGTTGTCCAGGTTGAGGCGAGTGTATTCCCCGGGTTCCAAGGCCAAAACCCTGTTCGGCCGTGATGTGGTGCGTGTATGAGCATGTTACATGGTTTGTGATGCGTGCCATGTTGATGTTGCCACGTTGTCTCCTGCCTCTGGGTGTGTGTTTGACAAGCGCGCGCCAACATGGGCGGCCGGTCCCCTCGGCAGCAGGGCAGGGTTGCTTACCCCATCAAGCTGGCCAGAGCCAGGCAGCAGGCAAGAGCGTGGGGCGCCCGCCTCGCGAAAGGGCGGGGGCCAAGCATGATTTCGGCACGCCGGGGTCGGCAAGGGCGGCTCGATGGAGAGATGATAGCGGGTTGGGGACCTGGTGAATCGCGCGCACGGGTGCCGCAATGGATCCGACACGCACGGCGCCAGGCAAGGGGTGGGGTGGGGGCAGGGGTGAGGAAATGAGATCCAGGCCCAAAACGCGGTCGAGGATTGTGTAAAGGCTGAGGAGGCTGTACACGTTTTGAGCCCACGGTCTTGTGTGACTGGTTTGAGTGGAAGGCAAAACGGCGGATGTGGGTGGAAGGAGGATATGAGGTGTGTGTTGATGGCGTCGAGTGGTGGCGGCTGTGGTGGTGCTTTTGCTGCCCGAGGCCAAAACGTCAGCAGCACAGGGGGACCCACCCGTCCAAGGCGAAGAAAGAAATAGAAGCGATGACGTGTGGGCGAGGGCGAGCACGATCTTCCTCCTTTCTTGCTCGTTGACGGCGTCGGACCGGGCCGTTACCCGCACTGCACCTACCTTTGTCGCCTCGTGGGGAATGATGAACGGCGAGATTCGCCTCTTGAGCGTTTCTTAAACAATGGTCAGTGATTGGTGTTTAACGGACAGACAAGCAACGCGAAAGCGAGTGAGAGTGTGTGAGAGAGGAGGGGCGGGAGAGACAAGGGGGAAGGGGGTTGAGGAACGGGGCGCATACAGGCACGATGGCGGCGAGCAGATTGAGGGTCGTACCCAATGGGTTCTCAACGCCCCAATAATCAAGCCAATTGCGTGCATGCATCCAACCCTTTTGCAGGAGCCAATTGCCTGCATGCACGTACTCCTCGATTCTCTCTCTCCACTCTCTCTTCTCGCGCGCTCTTTCAACTCTCTCTCTCTCTCTCTCTCTCTCTCTCTCTCTCTCTCTCTCTCTCTCTCTCTCCCTCTCTCTCTGTCTCTCTCTCTCTGTCTCTCTCTCCCTCTCTCTCTGTCTCTCTCTCTCTCTGTCTCTCTCTCTCTGTCTCTCTCTCTCTCTCTCTCTCTCTCTCTCGCTCTCTCTCTCTCTCTCTCTGTGTCTCTGTCTCTCTGTCTCTCTCTGTCTCTCTGTCTCTCTTTCTCTCTCTCTCTCTCTGTCTCTCTCTCTCTCTCTGTCTCTCTGTCTC